GGAAGAGTGAATTGGCAGTTTCTACCCCGTGCATTAAAGTCATTCACGGGCCATTACTGGAGCGGCCCCACCACTATCGGCTTTACAGGACGCGCGAGAAAACCAGAAACTAGCCCGAAAATCAAGGCTAATGAAGAAGCAAAGAGGACCTCAAAAGACCAGCCTCTTCAGCAACCCTGCCTGTGCACTTATTAGACCCTACCCCGATGATGCTCGGCAGCGCGTTCGGGGCAGGCCCGGGGGCTTCTGTCGGTGCAACAAATCTTGGGTCTGTTGCCCAGACTGTGCACAGGCACGGGAATAAGATTATAGCACCAGCCCAAGTCAGAGTTCGAGGGACTAAGAGATTCGAAGGACCAACATACAGATCAGAGGGACCAGGGTCGAGCCAGAGAAGCAAGACACCATCAGGAGAAGGCCTCCTTTGCCGGGCAGGCGAGCCCTGCAAAGGGCGAGGCCACGCCTAGAAGGAGACAACCAAGACACCATGGCAGGGCCTGCCGGGACTCACGAAGACGAGACCACCTCACCAACCACTCCACCACGGCCCACGTCATCGATCAGTGCGGTGTCAAGCCGCAGAGTGGCTAAGTGGTAGCCATTCGCCACATGGCAGCCTCTCTCTGTAGGAAAACCCACAGATGACACCCGTCCTGCGACGTGTCAAGTGAGCAGGCGTGGAGCTGGCAAGATTGCCCGGCAAGCCTTGCCGGGCAACCAACAATGTGACGTTGAGCGGTGCATTTAATGCGCCATGTCAGCCCGCAGAGTTAGGTACGATAGCATTGTTTGCTATCTTATCAGTGCATAATGACTACTTTGCCACTGTGGTAACCCCTTGATCTATAAAAGGAGGCCCATGGCAACCATAGACGGGGTTAGAAGGTTGGATAACTCACACCCCCATACCCGCGTAGCCACTGCCGCCCTGAGGCAATCCCTGCTGGGCAAGTGTACTGCACTCCACCACCACCTTTCCACCATCAATCCACCAAAGCAGGAGTGGGGTTTTACGCCTCACGGCGGCCTGAACCTAGGTAAAATTGTCTGTGTGATCTCTGTTGTGCTGCCCCACGCCCGTCTGCTCTTTGTGCAACGCGAAGTCCCCCTGCCGAACCAGCAAGGGGCCTCCTGGTCCCATAGGTGGTCGTGGTTTCCCGCGACATTTTCCTTAGCTGAAATATTACAAAGGACAGTGGGAAAATTTTGCATGGGAAGGTGAGGCATGATCCAAAGAATATTTGGGAATTTTCTTGGGATTTATAGAGCAATAAAATGCGGGTTGCTTCATAGCATAGTGAGAAACATTCATTTCCAGAAGGAAAATGAATATTATGCCATTAAAGAAAATTATCCCATGGCATTATAGAGAGGGATGAGGTCTAGAGAGGGTTTAAGGATGATAGAACCCACTTGGAAGAAAATAAAAATGATTTCCAAGTGGTAAGTCCAAAGAATTGACTAAAAGCCAAATGCAAATTCAAATAGGCCGCTGCTAGGCGTCAACCGACTAATATTCTGGCAAAAATCAGTCGGGTCGCCAGCCCTCCGATCTGTTTCTCTCGGCCCTTAGATATGTCAATGCCACACGTTCTTCTCCTTGCATCGCACCACCCAGCCTTTGCTCTGCTTCAATCTCCAAGCACGCAAGAGACCCCGGCGAGTTGTCCATCGCAACATCAGGTGTCGTTGGGCGAGGGCTCCATAGCAGCACCCACCGCCGCATGTAGCCGCCGGCGACGCTGCGATTCAGCACCGGGAGCCGTCGACAAGCATTGCATTGGAGCAAGGGGAGCCATGGGCGGTCGCTCCATTGCATCACCGAACTTCTCTGATAGCCACCGGCGAGCTTTGCAATGCAGCACGAGAGAGCCATCAACGAGCGCTCCATTGCAGCTATGTCCACCGGTGTGTTGAAGCACCAGAAGTGACAACGAGTTGCATCGCAGCAAGAGCAGCCACGACGAGGTTGCATTGCGGCATGAGCAGCACCAACGAGGTGCATCGCAACACGGCGATAGTGGTGAGTTGCTGCAGCGCAGCACGACGGCCATGGAAGCATTGTTGTGTTGCAGCACCGGATGTCGTCGACGAGATGCATCAGAGCAAAGCAGCGCCGACGAGGTGCATCGCAGCATGACGGCAGTGGGCGAGTTGTTGCGTCATAGCACGTTGGCCATGGATGCTTTGCAGCACCGGCTATTGTGGGTGAGCGCCGCATCGCCGGCAGCTACGACGAGCAGTCGCCTCCTTCAGTGTGTTGTGTCGCCGCCGGTAGGATGCTGCACCACAGCGGTGGCGTAGGCGGCTTCAGCGCCCTCCATTTGTGGCAGGGATGTAGCAGGTCATGGGCGTCGTCGCTCCTCCCTGGTTTGCTGCAGCAAGGCGGGGTCGCCGGAGTTGCCATGGGAGCTTCTCTCCTTTGAGTGGGATGAGCAGAGATGGGGAGGGGGAAAAGACAAGTGGTGACGACGTGCGGAGGAGAACCGAAGCAAAGAGATAAGGCTGGCTGGAGCGAAGCAAGTGGATGGGCCCAAAGGGGCACGTGGCAAGCACCGCGCGAGGTTTACGTTTGTTATTATCATCTGGTTGAAATGGAGTGTTTTCCATTCAAATATTCAATAAATCCAATAAAAAGAAAAACGCAAAATCCAAGGTGTCACAGGAGCCACCCACTGCCCCATCCACCTTCCTTATCCTTTCGCTCTCAGTTGTCTCCTTCCTTTCATCCCCTTTCACATTTTCCATCCACCATCACCGACGGGCCGCCGCCGCCATGGAATGACACTGCAAGGCCCGACCTCACCGTCGCTACAAGCCATGCTGATACTGCAAGACAAGGAGCAGACCACCACTCCTAACCATTAGCGTACGAGTTCAGGAGCTCCTTTTGCTGCTGCAAGATCCATCCATCGCCAATGTGTGCTGCATCGCAGCATCTCCATCGCCATCGTGTTGTGTCGCAAGATCCGCACGTTGCCGTTGTGTGCTTTGTCGCAGCACCCCCATCATTGTTGTGTTGCGTTGTAGTGAAGCTTTGTCGGCGGCCATCAATGCTATGCTGGAACTTCGACAGGGCAGCCAGTGCTGCGATGGAGCACCGCCGCGCGGCGATGGCGCTCCAGTGAAGCTTCGACGGCGGGCGGCAGGGTGTTGTTGAGGTTGCAATGAAGCGCCCATGGAGCTACAGTGAACTTGCCCAAGGCAGCCACCAGGACAAGGAAGAAGAGAACTTCTGAGTCTGAGGAGGAGGACTTTGTCATTGAGGAGGAGGTGACCTCCAAAAAGAAGGTGCTCAAGAAATAGTATTCTACTGCTGCTGCCACAAAGCCTGGTCAGTCCAAGAAAGCTCCTGCTAAGAGGAAGCCTATGTCAAAAGCCAGAGCCTCAACTCAGGAAACCATGGAGTTCACTCTTGAACCAAGAGAGGAAGAGGCTGCTGGAGGAAAGAAGAGGAAGGAGAGAGTCAAAAAGACTGGTCAAAGTCATTGGCAAACCCTCTATGATGAGAGAGTCTGATGAAGAAGAGGAGGAGGAAGAGCCTGTTGCACCTCGCCAAGACACAAAAGCTTATGGGGGATGCCATAAGGACTGGGGCTGCTCCATCTAAGCCCAAGTCTGCCCCCAAGCCTTCAGCTCAAGCTCAAGCCCCCAAACCATCTGCACCCAAGAGATCAACAAGGAACATTTCTGCTGCTAAGAAGAATAAGGCCCCAGTGCCTGAAGCTCAAGAAGATAATGAGCCACTAGTGTTCAGAAAATTCAAGTCCAAGATTCCAGATCATAGTGATGATCATCTTGTGGCAGAGAACATGAAAGAAAAGAAGGATGCATCTGAGACTCTAGAGACAGATTGATCCCTATGCCATCAGGAGAAGAACTGATGTGGACTATCATTTTCACACGAAGGAACAACAAGATTTATATGAGACTATCTTGTTAGACAAGAAGCCCATTGTCTATGATATGAAGTGGGTTGACTGGGAATATATTGATGACAATGAGGACTACTTCCCAGGTGTGCATGAGAGCTTCAGAATGAATCACATTGACAAATTTGTTGGTCAGAAGTTGACAAAGTGAAACGATGAGATGATCATGCAATTATACTCCACTGCTCACTTCTACCCGTATGAAAGGATTGTCTGGATGACTGAAGTAACAAAGTATCAATCAACAATCTCTGAACAGGCCAAATTGGTCAATGCCCCAAAGGAAGATGAGAATGCCACTGATGTATATGCCAAGCCTAGGAAGGATCACAACTCCATGACCAACATGTTTAAGACCATTCCCGATAAGGCCCTCGAGACACATAAGCTTGGATCAATATACTATCTGATGTCTGGCTTGACCACTATCAACACTATCTTGAGGTACACTTTTTTGCCCAAATCAGGAGATCATAGAATGATTCGTAGTCACTCAATCAGCTTGCTCCACATGTTTGATGTACCCCAGAAGTTCAAGGTGATGAGTTTGATTGTTGAGACTATGAAGAGAACAGTTGCTGATCAAAAGAGATCATGTAAATATTTTCCTCACATACAAATGTTGATCAATTCCAAGATGAGAATCGGGACATATCTTTTTGATAAAGAGCATCTTTCCCCGGGGCCAAAAGGCCAAAATATGACCAAAATATGAGGACAACGAGATTGTCATGGATGCATCCCATCCTACTTGTGCAGAAACCCGGGAAGGAGAGAGAGAGAGGCCATTAAAACCATCAGAGCAGCAGTCCACGCACAGGTGTATACTTGGATACTTCTTTCGACCGAGGGGGACATAGGCTGACGAAAAGGGAGAAACGGAGATTTCATGTTTTCATTAAACGGGTCAGTCTCCGACAGCCTTCCACTAAACAGTGCATTTGTTAACGCCCACTACTACATAGTGAATCTATAGCAGAAAAGTAGCTCCAGTAAACAGTGCCTTTGTATCTACCACGAGTTAGCACCCTGGCCATCGTAGAGAGAAAATTTGGGGTAAAAACAACCCTACACCATGTATTGCATTGCGACCTGCATCAGCCTTGTGTGCGGTATGCTCAACGTTGCTATGCCTCTCCGGCAGTTCTTCCTCAGGAACGCGTAGAAATAGTTGATCACTAGCTTCTTGACAAAGAATGACTCCTTCCGAGCTCGGATGTCGCCATGTCCAAGAAGGTAAACCACGCCACACTCCTTGGCCTTGTGAATGAAAGACAGCTCATTGTCCAGGCTTCGCCTTCCATCCATTGTCCCGTCCAGAGATCCATCAAATGATGTGCTTGATCCAAAGTTTGGATTTGAAACACCAGCACACTCCGCAAGGAGTGGAACACCAAGAGAGTAGATGCTACCATTTGGACCAACAAGAACTCTTGATGAGCTTGACGCAACCTCCTCTTCAGAGTCCGTGTTACCATTCTCGTCACTCTCCAAGGAGCGCTCTTGAGCTTCTCGCCGTATAAATTTCTCTAGACTTTCTATCAGAAGCTGTTCAAATGTTTGGGGGTTCTCTTTGCGTACATCTTTGTACCCATACCTGCAGACATGTATGATTAGCACAGGTAGCAAATAAACTCTCCTCACCATAAAGTTATTCTATATATACGACGCAGCTTTGCTATGTCCATATCAAAGCTATGCATAGGTTAAGAAAATACCACCAAGGGCCAACCTGACACATTTCAAGCTAGTGTATATCACCTACACTGTTGTGAGGAATAAAAACGAAGTTCCAAATCAAAGGAATCGATCACTAAGTAAAAAAGTGCTCTGCCCAAGAGCCAAGAATCCCCTGATATGATCAGTTGAGGGATAAAAAACATTTTGACTGGCTACGGTGTGAAATATGAATGACAGCATTAGGGGATACTAAACTATAGTATTCCCAGAAGCACCTGCCTGCCTATATATTCGCGAAGATGTCAGAATAGATAGATTGTTGTGACAGTAATGATACCAAAAATAAATAGATGCATTCCATTATACCTTAAAGGTTTCAAGCCAGTGTAGTCAGTATAACATAATTATGAGTCGGAAGGTTTGAAGCCAAGCAGAACTTTTTCTATGTCCATACCTAGCAATGCAGCGAAACATATGGTAGTTCTTTGGGCAGACCCGGCGAAAGAGAAACCTTTCATTCTGAGGAACGACAGGAACAGGAACCCACTTGATGCAGACAAAAATGATCATCGAATGAATGGCTGGCATTGTGGTCAGGAAGTGACCAAAGATTGCAGGAACCCCCCTCACCAGTTCATTATAAAGCAATCCAATTCCAGGCGCTCTGACTGTACCGAGATTGCAGCCTAGATCCATCATTAAATCCATCGAAAGTTTTTGCTTAACCTCAGTTTCGTACTTCAACTTGGTCCCATAGTTCCATATGTACATTACCAGATACAGTACAGCCGCAAACACCAAAAGAACCCAACTGCCATCTGCTACACTGCCCAATACAGAAGAAAAGAAAAATAGCTCCAGGCCCAGGAAGAGGGTGAGAAAGCATAGAACGACAATGATGTTGACCTGCCATATCAGAAGCATTATGATGGTCACCAATATAGTAGTCATCATCATGACCCCAAGTTCAGCTATACCTGTAATAAATATTGGGCATTAGAAAGATTATGTGGCGGTAGTGGTGACAATTAGAGTGAAAGAAAGGAATAGTATATAACAAATCAGTGCTTGAATGACGTAGGACATTGGTTTTTATTCAGAATAACAGAAGTCATAGATGTTATATTTTTTGCCAATCCACAATAATGTATGCTTAATATAGTACCATACTAAAGCATTACCAAGCCCATCAAGTAAACCTAGCACAGAGAAATATTGAACTGACAACAGTTCTAAACAACCAAATTCAATTTATACATACATGATAGGCACAAATTGAACAGATCCAGTTCTACCAGTTTCAACACTATGCATATCATGAGAAACACTATAAAGTCAGCATAGAAACATAGTTTAGCCCCTACTTATGCAATGAGGTAATGTACATCTCAGAACTTCCAATGAGAAACTGCTGGTTGATGATGTTTTAATTCATCGAACAAGTCAAAACTCTTCATAAAATTAAACGCGAATAAAAGCAATATTTCTTGCGGTCAAATACCAGTGCTATTGAACAATAGTTACATCTATCATTTTGTGTATCTCATTTGGCTGCCTATAAAGTTCTTATGAAATGCCTTTGAGTAAATTTTCAAATGCTTAGAACTCTCTTCCTTTCGTCATATCCTACATAGCTTATTAAATTTACACTTCGGCGGAATATAATCTTAGTAAGGCTATGAGGTCTTGCATTGGTATAAAAAATTAAATGAAACATCATTTATAAAGGAAACGAAACTACATCACACAAAAATAATCAGAGGAACTAGTGCACTGAGAATGAACCAGCAGATAATATTCTATGTGAATAAACAGAGTGGCCCTTATTCTAAACTACGCACCGTATGCATTGCCAATCTCATTAATGCTCCCAAATGTCGTAACAAACGCGAGACAGCAAACCAGCAAAAACCAGTTCATCACTGGGATGTATATTTGACCCATGAACTTTCTTGAAGTGTGAATAATCTTGAGGCGGGGAAAACAGCCAAGAGCTGTGGCCTGCTTAATGATTGAGAAAATAGCAGTTGTCATTGTACGACTAGCAATTAGTGCTGCTAGAGTAGCTATGAACACCACTGGCCAAAACACCTGACCTGAAACATGGAACGAAACAGTTATCAAAAAGGGACTAGTGGTAAACCGAAGCTTAATTTTTTACATAAAAGAAGCTTAGTTTTACTATAATGTAATAATTTCATAATGCTTGAAACATTACATGGCAATAAACATATCAGATTTGAAATGGGCTTCAAACAAACCAGTTGGTCTTACTCGGGATAGATAAAAAGAAGACCTGCTCATTTTCAGTCAAGTTTTCCATAAGAAATGCAGCTTGCCCTAGGTAACCCAGTAGAAGGCATGGAAGAACAAGACACACAAAGGTAAGCTGCAACATATAAGCAACAGTAAGTTATAAACTATGTACTGGAAGTGTAGCATGGAGCCCTCAGACAGTACAAAAGACTACCTGGACAGATCTAACAGAGAAGTAGCATAGATCAGCAAACATTGCCTCAGATCCTGCCAAAAAAAAACTTACATATTTTCAAAACCCAAGTGTTCACGCATTCTATATCCATGATTTTGTTTTCATTTTTTAATACAGAAAGCGCAAACCATTATAGGGTGTGGACACACCAAGATATGGATCTACATTTCCCCTCGTTCTTTTGTTTCTATTTTTCCTACTTCATTAGTACAGAAAGCTTTCTCCATCTATGCTACAAACTACAATAATTTACTTCCAAACTGAGGCAAGTAAAGGTAGAATGACATATTTTGTATTGCAAACACAAGTAAAGATAGAATGACAAGAAGAGTCCATAAAAGAGCCCACACTGTTTGTAGGATCTCTGCATCACACCAATAGAGAGGATTCTGATGTTCTAGGTGATGGTTATCTCCGGCATTATCCTCTTAAAGAATTTGACATTCACCTCTCTTTACTTACTTTACTAACGCCGGAACCATAGTAGCAATTATTTAATAACTGGTATAAAATCCAATATCACTTGACTGCCATTTGCTTGCCCTGATTAGGGATGGGCATAAAACCTGAAAACCGATTTACCGAACCGATTTAACCTGGACCGAAGCCGAAGTGACCGAAACCTTCGGTACAAAGCTCGGTTAGCAATTCTAAAAAACCGAATTAAGTTCGGTGAATTCGGTCTGTACCCTCGGTCCACCAAACTGACCGAAGCACCGACGCCCTACACCTAATTCCTATCCTGCCAGCTGCCGCACAACCGCAGCCCCGCACGGTCGCTCGCACCCATAGAACTAGGTAACTAGCGCCTCCTCCTGCCCTCTTCCCAAAACGTCGCTCCTCCCAAATCGCCTCCTCCCAAAATTGCGGCACAGATCAATCTTTCCCTCCCCAAGACCGCAAGTCTCGCGTCCGTAATCTGTACTTTCCATGGCCACTTGATTTTCTGTCGCCCGAGAATCCTATATGAGGTCTGATGCCTCGCTGTGCCGCCCGTCCGCCAAGATCCCTGTCCTCTGTCCACCACACCGGCAGCGGCGGCAGGGTCAATTTCTGCACAAGAAGAAGAAAATTGGCTGCTGCAAGCCGCAACAAGTGATTGGACGAATTCCGCATCGAATACCGCTGCTTGCCTGCAAAGTAAGTACAGTAGTTGATTTCTATTCTGTCATATTCTTGATTCCATCCAGATCCAAGTTCGTGACTTGATCCTTGTTGTCAGGTGCACTGTTCTTGTGTGAATTAAGGGTTGCTCTATGTTGTAGATGTCTTCTGAGGCAGAGGAGACTCGTGTGCACATAGACGAGAGTGAAAATAAGGAGGCTCAAAAGCTGATGGCTGCACAAGCAGAGATCTGGAATCATTTCGAGAAGATCAAGATTGATGGTGTCGTGCAGATGTGCTGCAAGTCAACCATTGATGAAGGTTGAAGAACAAACAATCAAGCTTGAAGTTTAGATGATGGGAGATTAGCAGATGGCAGCGGCGAGGTTCTACATATCCTGTTCGAAAAGCTTCTTGCTGATTGCCTGCTTCTTTTTATCAACTTAAGTATTTAGTCAGACCTATCAATGTGTCATGTGTGCTAAACTACAGGTTTTGTTGGATACTATTTTTTGAGACGAATCTGCTATGTTTACTGTCATTCTTTTCTGTTAGAGAACGGTGTGGTACAGGTTATATGCTGGCAATATTTTTTGTACATAATATGCAGCTAATCGCCTGCTGTGAAAATTTGTAGCTGATCATTTGTAAGCCTGAATGTTGTCTGTTGGTGCAGTTTGTGGCTGCCTGAAGTTTTTTTCGTGAGAGGAAGTTGTGCGCCTGTGCTGGTTTCTCACGTTTGTTTGCTATGCCAATTCATCTAGCATTAGCAGCTATATATAATATATTCTATCCGACCATCCCAGCCTAGCCCAGCGCCCCATCTTTCCAGTAGCAGGTCTTTCCGGTGCAGACCCGAGGACCGAACCGAACGATCCAGAGACCGAACTCTCGGTTATGTTAATTGGTACAGACCGATCGGTCCATATTTCCTGAGAACCGAAAATCAAAAAACACCGAAGCACCGAACCGAACGCCCACCCCTAGCCCTGATGTTCGACCTCTCATCTTAAGTTGAAGTAGATTTAACTATTAACTAAGGAACCTGTGAATATACTGGATGCTGTCCCTAAATAGAAGAGGGGGAAAACCATTTCAAACTTTTCTAGGATCTCTGTGAGGGCCAGAGGTTTCAGAAATGCGCCATATTGGTAACTGATGCAAATAGTTATAGTGTCTTGGTAAAATAGAAGTGTATGCTGAGTGTAGCATATATCTCGAAATAATAATTTTAGCAATAATGTGTTAAATTTGTTAGCAATAAAATGAATAAGTTTCTCTTTTCTATGATGTCGAATTCAGATGTGTGTGATGTTCTGCCTTTCGACAGAGGTTCCACTATTTGGAAATATCAAAGCAACGTGCTCGCATCACCAACCTCAAGGACGGCGACGCTAACGCAGCTTTCTTCCACCGGCAGTGCACCTTCCACCAGCAGAAAAAACGTGTGTTCAGCCTCGCCGCTGATGGACACGTGCTCACCGAGCACAAGGAGATGGCGGAAGCGGCATTCCTGCACTTTGACGCGTTTCTTGGCACCGCCGTCGAGCACGACCACACGCTGGACCTGTCGCAGCTCATCGATCCCTGTGACCTGGCTGACCTCGACGCCCCCTTCAGCGTGGACAAGATTTGGGATGCAATTAAGCGCCTGCCCGCACGAAAGGCACCCAGACCGGACGGGTTCACTGCCGAATTCCTGCGCGCCTGCTGGGGTACGGTCAGGCAGGATTTTGTGGATTTCTTCCAGCAGCTGTTCGAGATGCGCGGCCGCAGTTTCTGCAATCTCAACCAGGCCCTCCTCGCCCTGCTGCCCAAACGCGCTAATGCCTGCCAGCTTAACGACTACCGCCTGATAAGGTTGATCCATCTCATGGCCATGATCTTCGCTAAAGTCCTATGCTGCGCCTCGCCCCCAAGCTCAACAGCCTGGTCAACATCACGGGGCGAAGCCTCCACGACAACTTCGTCCTTGTCAAGCAATCGCTTAAGCTGCTGCACCAACTTGGGGCCCTGAGGATTACACTCAAGCTCGACCTAGGGCGCGCCTTCGACTCTATATCTTGGCCATTTGAGGTTTTGCGCCAATATGGTTTCGACGCCCATTTTTTGAAGTGGCTAGCCATCCTCCTATCGACGGCCAGCACCCCGGTCTTGCTAAACGGCCTGGCACGCCAATTTAGCACCATCGTGGGCTTTGCCAAGGCAACCCCTTGTCCCCGCAGCTCTTCGTTCTCGCCGTCGACACCCTGGGTTGGTTTGTGAAACGTGCCCACGACCTCGACATCTTGCAGCAGCTACACCCACGGAGTGAGATCCTGGCTATATCTGTATGCCGATGATGTGATGCTGTTCTGCCACCCCACGCAGGACGATGTCACGACAGTCAAAGATATTCTGAGCCTGTTTGGCGAGGCCTCTGGCCTCCGGGTCAACTTCACAAAAACCTCAGCCACTCTTCTGCAAGGCGACCCCAAGGTAACCGCGGTGATGATCGCCCAGCTAGGATGCCCCGTCGTGGAGCTCCCAATCACCTACCTTGGCATCCCCTTGACGGCGCGCCACCCCACAGCCGCCCATCTGCAGCCCCTCGTCGATGGGGCGGCTGGCCGACTCCCAGCGTGGAAGGCCTGGCTGATGAACAAAACCGGACACCTATCCCTGGTCAAGTCCGCCCTTAGCTCGATCCCGGTTCACCAGATTCTGGCGTTTGCACCCCCAAAGAAAACCCTCAAGCAGCTCAAGAAGATTCAGCGAGGGTTTCTCTGGGCTGGACGCGCCGCGCCAACTGAGGGCACTGTCACATGAACTGGCGCCATGTCTGACGGAGTGACGCCCTCTCGCGCATGGTGGCCTGGAGGTACAGGATCTGGAACACGCTGAGCTTGCACTTCGGCTACGCTGGCTTTGGTTTTCTCACAGATGCAGGGAACGCATGGCAGGGGCTCGACCTACAGTTCTTGGCTGAGGAGCGTGCACTCTTCTTCGCATCCACAACCATGTTTGTCGGCAACAGTGCCCCCGCCTTATTTTGGGAGGATCGATGGCTCAACGGACAGTCTGTCAGCGAGATCATGCCCCTGCTCCACCAATGCATCCACAAGAGGCACCGCAAGATCAGAACGGTGGACGATGGGCTCCAGGGCAATACCAGGGCGCAAGACATACACGGGGCCCTTGGCATACATGAGATCAGCCAATACTTGCAGCTCTGGCAGGCTGTGCAGCACACCATCCTCTCCGACGAGCCTGACGGCTGCTCTGGAAGTGGTCTGTCAATGGCACCAACTCTGCGCAGTCCTGCAATTTGGCCACCTTCCACGGGTCCACACTGTGCTTGTGACGCCCCAAGACCGGAGCTTTAGATGCCTTCCAGGGTTTCCGGGTTTCGCTGTGTGTTTCATTTGTGCCTGCCCTTTTATTTTTGCATTGCATCATGTCGCCATGCCATCTTCTCATAAATCTTTTACAACTCAACTAAATAAATGGCATGGATCTTTGATCCATTTAAACCGAGGGAATTCACCTGGTGACTTCTCTTTATAACATACCCTCCCGATAGTAGGGAGCTATATTAAATATTCCATTTGTTGGAATTCACCGGAACACACTTGCAAAATAAATCTCAATGCCTTTGTTATCACAACTCTTGGCCTCTAACTTCGCTATTTATTCTTTCATCATATTCCGAGGTTCCTCAAAAATCCGAACATTTTTTGGATACTCCTAAAACCTCGTCCTAGTTCAAATCATTTGAATTAAATTTAAATGAGTTTGAATTAAACTCTTCTATTTCGCGTGAAACTTCTTTTCTTGGTCTAAGTATAATTCTTAGACTCAGTAGGAGAAGTTTCAGCATTTTCTAAAACCCCTAGCTATTTCTTTCCTTCCTTTTTCCTTCTGTCTACTTTTCTGTAAATGAGAAATA